TATTTATCATCAATAAACATATTATTATACCTCTGAATCAATTGCTATTTTCCCTTTAGTCTTGTCGAAAGTACACTATCGTGTAAATTATATAAACTTGAGTTAAACTGAGATTAAATTGCTACGTAAACTTAAAAGAATCACTGCTTGAACACCCCGTCTAACTGTCGTAATTCGCAAGAATTGCACGTTAACAATACCCAGAAAAAAAGGACATTATATATTTTAAAATCAAGTTAAAACTATTACAGAAAAGATAGAAACTGTTAAAAATAAAATGAAATTGTTGAAGAATAGCCAGAGGATGAAACTATTAATTAGACAGAAAAAGAATTAAAAGAGTTTGATGAAGTAAAGAAAAGGCTTATCTCTGAAGTTTTTTGTTAGCGTAAGAATGCTAGTTGTAGTATCAGAGCAGTATATACTGAAAATTCAAGAACTATGATGTGGAGAAAGGAAAAAGAAAAAAAAATTAGATGATGATGCAAAAGGAATGAGAACTCTTGACACATTTTTTAAAAGTTCTAAAATTTTGCATTTATCACGATAACTATTACAATCATCCCTACCACAATTATCTTTATTTTTATCATTACCATTGCCATCTCCACTTCCAGAAATTTCTCAGATATATTTAGATCTGAAAATTTGTTCTTTTTATTGAAAAGGAATGAATTTTTAGACTCTTTTAAAGCTAAAAATTTTTTTCTTTTTATTGAAAAGGAACAAATTTTCAGATTTCTTTTAGATTGAGTGCTAAAAAGATTCCTTTTAATAAAAAGGAACAAATTTTCAGAATTTTTTTAACGCTAAAAAGGTTCCTTTCAATGAAAAAGAATAACTTTTTAGAACTCTTTTAGAGCTGAAAAGATTCCTTTCAATAAAAAGAAATAACTTTTCAGAACTCTTTTAAAACTGAAAAGGTTCCTTTCATTAAAAAGAAATATTTTCAGATCTCTTTTAGAACTAAAAATTCATTTTTTCAATAAAATTTTCAGATTCAGATCAGATTTGGATTTAAAATGATCTATCAGATCTGGATTTGAGATTCGATCTATCAGAATTAGATCAAATCTGGATTTCAATAAATTTGTCATATTCAGATTAGATTTAGATTCTGAAAAATGAAAATCAGATCAGATCAGATTTGAATAAAATTTGATCCAATCTGATTTTACGAAATACTATTGATTAAGGATTATTGAGAAGAATATCTTTTTCAGTTTTATAATCGCTATACCATTATTTGATTTTCTCCAGATGATATTAAAATTATAAATTACATTGCCTATATAAACTTTCTTATCTGGTTATCTCTTAAAATTTTGTCGACTCACTTTGGTAGTCCATATTGTCAGAATATTTGAGAATGAAAAAAAAATTTCTGAGCATGTAGATATTTGTTGTCTTTCCAAACTGTCTTAAAAGTATAATTATAGAGATAACAAATTATTTTCAAGAAAATTAGCGATGAGAAGAGTTTTGTCTAGTAAAGTAAAATTTCAATTCAAAAACTGATTAAAACTACTAATTCTAATAGGTAAATCTTTGTTTATAAAGGAGTAATAGTTCTTATAATAGAATCAAAGAAAAGAATAGGTAATATACATAATCACCCTTAGGCGATCTCACAAAGACAACCCAAAGGGTTTGAAAATATATTTACTTAATTCTTATCCTAAATTTTAACATGCAACATCAATAAGTATATTTTTTAAGTAAGATTTTATGCATAACTAAATCTGAAATAAAAAATAAAAAATAATCTTTTATAATGATCTTTAAGGACATATGATTTTGTAAATAAGTAAATGTGTAATTGACTTTCTTACAGATCACTTTTCTAAAATTAAAAAAACTTTAATTTTTAAAGAAATATATTATGAGAAATATATAATGCTAACAAAGAAAGAGAAAGTACATAGATCCTAAGCTATTTTACTCTCAAAATAATTTTTACAGATAATTTATTTCTATATCTATTACTAATCTTATCCTATAAATTTTCTTTATACTAAAATTCTAAAATAAATTAAATTATTTATATTTATAAAATTTTTATCTATCTATATCACTCTCATTTACAAAGATTATATAATAAATTATTTCTTAAAAGAGAATTTTCTTAAAATGAAATTATTTTAAATTTATAAAAAGAATTTTTAAAATTAGCAATAAATAAAAAAATAAATAAGATAAAGATTTCTGATTCATACTTATTTCTATAATTCATTTTAATAATATTCTAAATTATTTCATAATATTTTGATCTTTTATTTTAATACTATGCTAAACATTAAGAATTCAAATGCTTATAATTTTATTACCAAAAAATTTATTATATACTATATTTTGATATGTGATAAAAATTTAGTAATTGAAAGTTACAAAATTAATACTAAACTGATTAAATATATAATAGGATCACAATTTTCTCAGCAAATATTAAATCTAAAAGAAAGATAATATGTCATTTTTATCTTTAAATATCTATAAAGCTGAAAAAATAATTAGCATTATGATAACAATTTTTTAAAATCAAATCAAAAAATTAAATAAACTTATTTATTATTACTTTATAAAAGTATGAATTTATTTGATTAAAGGTATTATTGATATAAATAATAGTAAAATTTGATCAATTTAAATTTTTTATTTAATTTTTACTTTACTTATATAAATCAAATAAAAGAATTCAATAATAAGAATATTATCTTTTTATATAATTTACAGAATTGATTTTAAAATATATTTAGAGGAAAATTACATTAATATGATTATATCACAAAAATCTAATTAATAACATTCCTTTATTTAATAACAAAAAATTTAATACTATCTATATATAAAGATCATCAAAGAATCTCTTTTTAATAAATTACAAAAAAGCATTTATAAAAGTAAAAAAAATATATGACTTTATTATTACTATTTTACTTACATAGACTATCTGTAATTCTATAAAAATCCAGTTATGGCCTTTTTAAATTCTAATTTTATAAATTATTTTTAACATAAGAGAATTTTCTAATATGAAGATTAGTTTTTATAAAAGAATATAAAATAAAAAGGAATTATCTTGTTTATAATTATTAAAGAATAAAGTTAAAGATTTTAAAGAAGATTTTATTTATTAAAATTATCTAAAATGTTATATTTAAATATATTCTTTCTATTTATCTAAAATCATAATTAATGAATTTTTAATAATATGAATATATGATTGATTATTTTATCTTTTTTAAATCTATTTTCTAAATTCTCTGTTACTTAAATCTAATAATTCTTCTTTTTATACTATTTTATTATTATTTAAATTTCTTTTTAAAATATCTGTATTTGTATTATTTTCTGTTTTCTGTATTTTTTCCTTCTTTTTCTTTTTCTTTTTCTATTTTTGTTTTCTGTTTTTCAATTTTTACTTTTTTCCTTTTTTTTTAATTTCCTTTTGTATCTCTAATTTAAACTCATTACACTATAATTACATCATTTTTCCAAATTATCTTACTAAAATTTATCTTACAAAGTAATTTGCTAATTACATATTTGTTTATCTTAATAAAGTATTTATCTAAACTAATTTATTTCAGTTAATTATTTTTTTATTTTTTTATTTTCCTTTCTTTTTGTATCTTATACGCTTTAAAATATAACATATTTTGCTGTATTTTAAAGTTAACTTTTTTTACAATATAAGAATTTTGAGAATATGCAAAATAGTTTGAGAATAAATTACTTGTTTTTGTGATACATGATAAATTTTTATATTAAAATGTTTTGAATACTGCGCATTTATCATATTTTAGATCAATGATTCCATAACTTGATCAAAAAAAATAAATGTATATACACTTACCACAATTATATAAATTTGGTTATTACGAAATTACATTTAAAATCAAATAAAATTGTTTTATTAATTAGAACTAATATATGCATACGTAACATGAAATGATGTATTTATTAAAATTAAATTTTCTTACTTTTTTTTATATCTAAAGTATATTACAAGAAAAATTTTGTTGTACTTAAAAAGTCCCCCGACTATTTAATTACTCAACGAACTTCTCCAATTTAACCTTGTATAATTCTCCCTCCAAACCCTACACCACTTAAATGACTACTACCACGTTGTTTAGAATCAATATCTTCTACTGTCCATAAACTAACCCCCATTTGATCATCAAATGGTTGCGCCATTGATCTTAAGAATTTTTTGGCTATAACTAATGCCATGTCTGTTGATAAATTTGTTGCAGTATCTGTTATATATTGATTAATCCATTTTGGTAACTTATTTCTTTTGTCTCCTCTTCCAAATCGCTAAATTATTTTTAAGTTCTAATTTAATAAAATTGAATAAATATAAAAATCAAATATTATAATTACCTTATCGGCAAATATCATAAGACCATAATCTGTTTTTCCTCTTAATACTCTACCAACACATTGAGCCGCGTGACGCATAGCATCAAATGTTAAGAAATCATTCTCTCGTATTCGATAATTCTCTCTTAAAAACTCCAGTCTTGCCTTTGAAATTCGAAACCAATTTACGAATAAGATGAAATATAACGTCACACATAATAATCATGTATTAAACTTACCTTTAGTATTCTATTTTCGGTATATTGATAAGGTACACCAAACATAATTACAGCACGTCCATAATTATGATCAAAATCTATACCTTCTGATACTTTACCACGAGCAACAGATAATAATATGGCGCCACGTCCATTATCACATGCCTAAATTCACAAATATTTGGCAATTATTATAGATTTATAAAAAAAAAAAAAAAGTTAAATCACATAATATCAGAAGAGAAAAATATAAATGTACGGTTCTATAATTTTCAAGTGCGAGACTTGTTTCTGCCGCATCTGGCGTTTCTACAAATATTAGTTTGTGTTTCCATGCCTCATTTAATATTCCCTAAAAAGGTTGTAAAATAAATTATTTAAGGAATAAGTTTTCAAAATTAAAAAAGTTCGACCAATAATCTTACCATGTCATTCCACATTGCAACGATAGATTCCATATATAAATAACTTGGAAAAAATGCTACTATTCCATCTGGTACAATTTTAGAAAATTCAACTAGAATTTGTCCAAAATTTCTTACCACAGCCGGATCATTTCTGACTTCAAACTTTGAACTAATTGCTACTTGATCACTTCCTCTTGTAATAACCTTTAAAAAAGTAAATAAAGTTTGAATTTCGAATATTGATCTTGGGAACTTATAAATAATTTACAATTTACTTACTAAGGGTAAGAAACAATTCCTAGTAAGCGTCATTGAATAACTTTCTTGTATAGCCGCATTGAATGACAACATTTTAGGATACATATCAAGAGGTGATAATGTCCCTGATGTTATTACTACAGTTTTAAACCTTTGAAATACAGGTCTTATTGCTATTGAAGCATCAAGACACCTGATAAAAAAAAAAATTATTTTGTTAAATCATCCGAATCCAATTAAATAACTTATATATAAGCAGAAAACTAACGCATAATGAAGAATGGGATTTGGAACAGTTTCATTTTCAAATGGTTCCAAAATTAATAAGAAACCTATAAATGATAAGAAAAAAACTTAGCAAAGTACAAATATTAAAAAGACTTCTTAAATGTCAATTTAAATACCCGTATCATAAGTAGCCAAGAGAGTTGCAAAGGCTGCAACTTTATGTAATGCATAATATTCATCAAGGTCTGTTAATTCCAAAGTACGAACCAATGAAGTTAATCTTTGACTACAAAATCTAATAATTCACAAAAACTATTAGACCACAATAAATTTTTTCAAACGACAAATAAAGTCACTTATCAGTCATTTATATGTCAAACCTCAATGGCTTCTTCTCAATAAAAGTTAATTCTCTTAAATGTAGAAGGAATGAATTTGGAGTTTCAGCAACAACATGTTGTATTCGCATTCTTGTCTAAATAAAGACAAATTAGCAAAGCATTCATAACAAAGTTAAATTCTTAAGGATTTTACATACTTTGAGATATTCAATAAATCTTCGAAGAAAGGCAACAAAATGTTCTGCTTTTCGAATATTTCCGGGTACAGCTTCTTCTAGTAAATCATTTGGCAATACTAAATTGAAAAAAAAAATCAATTTATTGCCATTTAACAATTGAATTCTATAATAATTTTCCTACCTGGATTTGCCATAAACATATCTTCATCTCTGGCTTCTCTAGCGGCTTTTAATCCTATTTAATATGGAATCTTTAAAATAAATTTTCTATTTCACAAGAATTTAATTTTAAACTAATATTCAACAACCTTCAACTAGTTTTGAATATTCATCTACTAATTTTTCAGAATCTTTTGCTTTGACTCTAATATAAAAAATATAAATTAAAATTTATAAATTACAGAAGAATTGTCCATTTATTAACATACTCTTCAATTTTTTCAGTTAAATTAGCAATACTTCTTGCACCTGCATCCAGATTAGGTTTTGTAAGATCAATACTTAATGATTCTATGCATACATTATCTATGACAAAAAAAAAATTTTTTTAAAATGATTATTAGAAAAAAAAAATAATACATTTTTTTTTTTTTATAAAAAATTATTTTACCAATATTATGTGCTTCATCAAAGACCACTATACAATCTTTAGACATTTCTTTTGAAACTAATTCCGCAACTTTTGGATCGAGTAAATAGTGGTAACTATATATTACAACGTCTGCGAATGGAATCTATCGATCAATAAAAGAAAATAAAAAATTATCTTTCAATAAATAAATAAACCTATTTTATTTACAAATATCTTAATAAAATATACCATTCTCCTAGCCAAGTAATATGGACAAATAGAATTGTCTTTACCAAAATTTCTCAAATCTTCTAATGTATAAACACCATCAGGCAACAATTCTTGTGGGTCATACGATTCTAACGTCTATATAATTATATAAAGTTCCACAACAAAATAAATTCACGCTTCTGAAAAAAAAATTGAAATATAAATGAATAAGAATTACCTCATAAAAATTACATAATTCTACATTCTCATTAACTTTATCTCTTACCCAAGAAGCAGTTAAGTTTCTGCATTTAGCATCGACCGTTTTTCCCCATTTTTGTTTACTAACAGTAGGATGCAAACAAAGGTTCTTTCTTGAAGTAAGACCAATTCCTAAAAATGACTCTTCGACACCTTGCGATCTTCGATAATCAATCAAATTTTGAAGTTCTGCTAAAGCCTTTTCAATTTCTGGTACTGTTCTTGAACAATATATTAATTTTCGTTTTTCAGGATAATGCTATTAAATTTAAAAAGACTTTGCAAATTATTATTTAATAAGATTTTAATTTTATTTTTTTAAAAAAAGAATAACTTACCATTTGATACGCTATAATTAGAGACAATAATGATACTGTTTTACCAGTTCCTGAAGGCATTTCAAGTAAGCAGTGACCCTAATAATTTTAAAAAAAAACATTGTACTAAATTCAATTTGATGATTGAAGAAAAATTTCAATCAATCAACCTTGAACTTACTTTCACATCAATTGCTTTCTTTAAATCTGCCATGTAAGAATATTGTTCGGGATATATTTTGTCATAAGGAAAATAAATTGGTAAACCATCTATCGTGAAACTAAAGATATACATAAAAACAAAAAGAATTAACATATAAATTTAAACGGAAATAAATGTAATAAGAACATAAGAACTTACTGCATTTTTTCGATAAAAATTACAGAAATAATTATTCAATATTTATTTATTTCAAATAAACAATTTAAAAGAGAAAATTTAAAAAATAAAATTTGTTTATTTTTATTATTGGATAATCTTATCGATCGATGTGACATCTCGATTCTATCACATAGTGCGGGCGATCATTTATCTACAAGAATCATTTATCGATCAATTATCCATATTAAAAAAAAGCCGATTTCAATTTATTTTTTTTTGTTATTTGGAATATCGTACATAATAATATGCATTTTTATAAAAATTTAATCGTTATTGAGTGACTTTTTATTAGAGAAAAAGTTTTGTAATACGCATATAAAAGTTATCAATTTATTTTTATTAGTTAGTTCCAAACTGAAAAATTCTGCAAAATAATGTGTTAAGATTTGTGTTCGGGTGATATTTTACATAAAAATTGTGTTATAACAAATTTTATTTAATAATTAATACTCTAGTATTCAAAGTTTGTATGCATATATCTGCAAAATTTTAAAATTGCAATTTCTTTGCGATTAAGTTGGCGCAGTGTTACAAAACTTTATTTTTAGACTTATCATGATGAATCGATTTAGTGGTAAATTATATTTTCTGTCAATTATATGATGCTTTTTTGACCGAAATTTATTAAAATTTTAATAAAATTTTTATTATTTCAATTATAATAAAACTTTGGTAAATAATTTGTTTGGCGCATTTGGAGACGATATAAATATAAAAAAAATAAAGAAAATTATGCTATATATATATATATATATATATATTTTTTAATTTCATTTGCATTTCTTCAATCCAAACCAGTATGTGAATCTCAAAAAAAAAAAATGGCGTACTAAGTGAGATCCACCCGGAACTTTCTTTACAACCGTTCTTCATATTTGACTTAATCGATAATATAGCGTACAGCTTGAATCCATAATTTTGCAGGATTTCTTGCACTTAATTCATCATGAAAAATTCTATAATTAGCAGGTCTATAGCTATATTCCAAAACTTCATCTTCATTCACCAAACTGTAGACTTCTCTCAAAGCATATTTTAGCAAAGCATTAACTTCAAATTCTTTTAATTGCGCTTCGTTCCCACCAATCAAATATTTAACAGTTTTTATATTACTATCATTTGTTAATAAACCCAATTTTTCAAAACCTTTGAACAATGCTTTATCGCTATAACTTTGTCCACCGGGAAATGATGCAAATGACATTCCGGTTTTCATTGCATCCTCAAATAATCCACCGACTGCAACACTTTTCACGTGATAAATTTCATTAAAATATTGTACAATATTAGCGCAAGAACTACCACAATTTCCGTTCGTTAGAATGATGATATCATTTGATACATTCCACGGTATTTCGAAATTCTTTTTGGCTAAAAAAAATTCCAGCAGGTCCTTGGTATTATCCAAGAATTTATTCGAATATCTCTGTTGTCCTCCTAGATTATTTCTAGCAAAAGAATTATTGCCTATGAAATTTTCTATGATGTTAGCTGAATTGAATGGTAAAGATGTTTGTGTCGATATCCATAGCTTTGGATTAAATGGAGTTGAAGTATCATTTTTGATTACTGATTGCGTTATTAATAATTCGGAAAGTGGAGTTATTTTCATATCTGTTGGGAATGCTATTGGTAATTTTGAAGATAAAGGTGGCGATAATAATCGCGTAATAAAATGTGCTATTAAAATTGTTCCACCCCCATTATTTATAAAATCCAGTACCAGCTACGTATGTGATGAAATATAAAAAATAATGATTTGTTTAACAAATAATAATAATAATTATAATTATAATTTTTTATACATTACCTTTTTAACACCAGCATTGATCAATATTCGAAATCCTTCTAATAATTCATCAATAACCAACTCATTCTCATTCTTTTCAGTATCAACGGTAGAAATTACCACAACGCCAAACGCTCCTCTTTCAACCGAAGTAATGATGTAAAATTGAGCAATTTTACCGGATTTAACTAATTTAACTTGCTCATCTCGTAACATTAATGATTCAAATTGGTTAAAGATAAGTGAATTTTCTTTTTTTATTTTAACATTTTTTGGTAATGTGTTAACTTTAAGATTATTATTATTCGCACAAAATGAATTCCAATAACTTTTCGAATCTGTAAATGCTTCTAGGAATTCTTGTTCCTTTATTCTAACCATCCATTCTCTCGTGAAATTATATCTCTCCCCATAACAAATTACGTTATATTCTACACTTTCTTTTTCTGGTAATACATCCCTTTTGGTGAATTGTTCTGAATCCGAAGAAAGTTGAATAAATCCATCTTCCAATGTAAGTGATGCAAGTGCTAAATTAAATCTAACGTTCAAATCCTTCGATTCACCTATTTGTGAATTCGCAAAGGATGTGATGAATGAGAGCGCGGGTTGTGAATCTATGTGAGTAACCTCGCAATCTGTTAGCGAAGGTATTATCGAATCATTAAAGATCTTTATCACCTATAAAAATTTAGGATTTCTTTTTTTTTAAAAAAAAAAGGGAAAAGGAATATGAGAATGAAAAGAAAATTGTTTAATGAAATTCAAACCTTACTTGTTTGTCATCAGATTTAACAACAGAATACAAAGAAAGTCCTTGTTCAAATAAGAACTGTTCAAAATAGCAATTAGGTATGAATTTGGTATGAGGATCTTTCAATTGATTCAATAGATTCATTACATCCATCTGAAATATATATGTTCTTTTTTTATTAACAAACATTTCGTTTCCTTTGATTGAACAAGTATAAATTTACCATAAATTGAACATCGGTTGTATAAGTATATGCAAGTAATTTATCAAGTTCACTTAATACGTCCATAGCTGAAAAAGTAAAGCCTGGTTGTGCTTCTTGTGTCGCTTGATCCAAAAACACATAGCTTTGTGATAATATGCTCTTAATTGTATCTATAACCTATATCATAAAATATATATATATATATATATAATATTTCTATGTTCGATAAAAAGGGGAGAACATCGATACTTCTTCATACAATTAAGTTTACCTCGATAGACCTTTTCGGATCAAAGGGAAATGATTCGAAGCACGCCTTAACATCAGCGTACTTGGTATAAAATTTTCCTACACCGGCTTTTTTTGATGTCAAGTAATCTGAATGGATTTTCGCACATGCATCTTGGCTTTCTTGACGAACTTTTAATTCTTGAAAATTAGAATTATGATTGTCTTGTGATTTTGGTATTTTAAATGCATTTAAAAATGATGTTAGTAATAATAATATTAGTAAAATGAGGATGATTTTAAGGTCCTTTCTCATGACGCATTTAATTTTTTAAATATTTCTATGACGTTTTTATATGTATTATAATAACAATGATTACAAAAAAAAGAAATTAAATTCATTGTTAAGAAAAAATTTTCTCTGTTAAAAAAAAAACATGCAAGAATAGCCAGACCAAATTTAGCACACAAGATATGAAACTTTGTACATCATTACATGAACAAAATGGGAATTAATGGACATCCTTGACATTTTTCAAATGGGAATGGGTCAACTGAAACTTCTAAGAAATTTCTTTTTTAGGAAATTTGTTGAGTAATTTGGCGCAGCAAATGATTAAGTACATTAAAACTTTCGCCAAAGTTTATGTCAAGAAATTACTACGCCTCTAGCTAAGCAATGAACTCATGTAAAAGCTGATAATTTTATTAAATTACCTGTTCTTTTATTGGGTGATGATTTAGAGATTGAAATTTAAAGCTGGTTTGAATTCCGTTTATCCATCAAAGATATAAATGAGAATTTAAATTAGTTTCATCGAGAAATAATTGTGAATATTTTCGGTCACGTGCGTTTATCTGTCCGCTTAACCAATAAATTGTCTAGTTTCTATTTTTATGTCAGATGACGATATTTCTCACCCTTTATTTTCTTTACCTTTTTACCTTCTATTATATATCAATACAAAAGCAACTTTTGTCATTGTGAAGACGACCGCCTCTGAAAAAGTTAAGAACGACTGTCACATTAGGTAAGAAATTGTCTTGGGCGAATTAATACCAGCAGTAGTCTAGTAGACTTGCGTCATTGTCGGTTTACTTGGGTAAATAGGTAGAGAACTGGAATCACTTTCGTGGCCTCTCTCTTCTGTAGGTTTGTCTAGACATGTTTTTTTTTGGTAAAGGTTCTACTGATGCCGGGAGAAGGGATTGGTTTTGTCTTCCTTTGCATAACAAAACGAATATGTTTAGCGAGTTTACTTCACCGAAAGCTTGCGAGAACGTCAAGTTTACTCACCGAAAGATTGCGAGACGTCTTTCTCTATTTTTTGTTTTATCTACTTCAAATCGGCAGCGTTTAAGAATTTATTCTATCTTGCTGGTCAATTGTTTTTTCATTATGATTGTCCATTATTTGGTGAATGAATTGGAGAACCGGAAGCTCTTCATGGCCTCGCTTAGCGTGAACGTCTTTCTCCCTTTTATTTATCTATTTAGTGGCTTACTTAGATTTTGCTAGCCTTATCTAACTTTTTTTTTTAATTTTTAATTATTAGGTAACGAACAATGGCGAATTTTTTCCTACTTAACAAGTCTTTGAATTAATTATATTTTCAATGTAACAAAACTTTTTTAATATAGTTTATCAATTTTTTTTTAATTATTATAAATGAACGCGATGTTACATATATCAATTGCAAAAGTTATAATTATTTCTTACAATGAATAACTAACTTTATAAATGTGTGGGTTATTCCGTTCTTTATTATTTAAAGTTTTAAAAACAAATGAACCGAAAAAAATATCAACCTACCCACATTAAAAAAATTATAAAAAGTATATATATATTATAACCATTAAAGCAGTTACGCGGTGATGGTAAATTTCAAGAATTTTTATCTTAGGCTATCTCAAAAAAAGTAATACGTACAACCATGATCACATGATGTCATAGATGACATATATCACTGCTTTTACTAGATTGAGTCTCTATCTTTTTTCAAAAAATTTTATATGACACCTTACAGGTATGGTTTAAATAATATGCCATATTTTAAGCATATGTCGCATTAAATGTTTGTATGATAAGAATTTTAAGACAACAGAATGGGAGATTGTGATATCTGAAAATGAACATAGATAAAGCGAGGATTCTAGTTATCATTATATGGAATGCTTTTGCCTTCTTCTATATGATCAACATTGGCAAATCTATGAAGTCTTTGATTTTTCTCAAATAGCAGACGAAATGGCTGTTTCAACATTTAAACCAGTTGGTAATATTGATATTGATTTTAGAGTCAACACTTAAGAATGTTAAGAACTAACCAATAAAGGACTAACCCTAACCGTCAAGAATAAATTTGACATATAAAGATCTCATTTGGAGCATCATTAATAGGATTCAGGAGAGCAAGAAGACAATTAATAATATTACAACAGGACACCAAATTAAGAAACTGGCATCTTTTTTCTCGAGATAAGAATGGAAATTTGAAAGTGTTCTAGAATTGTGCAAAAACAAACACAGTTACATTTAGTATCATAAAAACACAAGCTATCAATCAGAACTTATGCAATAAGAATAGTAACATAAATAATGAGATCATCTTGCAAGAATTATCACTTGATCATGAAATATAATACATTCAATCACTTCTTAATTTATTAAAGAATAAATATCCATTTCGTGATAGAACAAATAATGATATCTTGTATAATGATGAGATCAAAAACTTTATTAGAATTTATGGTATTACTGATTTTTGCCTTATGCTTACATGTGATGATTCAGTCTTTTAGCTAGAAGATCCTGGTGGTATTATTTATTTTGGTCTTACATAGATGATAGCATGATACGCAAAGGAGATAATATGAAAGAAGCTTTAATAAATCATTATTTTTTTATCAGGAAAATCTTTATTATATTAATAAATATACTCGTAAATTAATACCATTAAATGAATATAATCGTAAAGTTAAAGAATAGGTAAAATTACCTAAATCTTATATTTACATTGATATAAAGAAATCACTAAAGTATATATTAAAAAAAGATGGATCAAAAAATAGAAAAAAGAAACAAAAAAAGAATAATAATAAACATTAATATGAAAATAGTTCCTGCACTTATTTTATAATTAAATTTAATATATTTATATAACTTATTATTTGTAGAGTAGGCTATTTGCATGGTTTGCTTTATTTGATAATTTGTATAAAATTACTGTATAAGAAATTAAAAACGTATGCAAATTTAACTGCAATTTTATAAATCAATAATTAAGCTAATGCTAATTAACTCTTATAATTGCAAAAAAATCTAGATAAAGTTCTGGATTTAACAACAGATCCTATTCCTTAGTTAGAATTATAATAATACATATATATAATATATATATTTTTAGCAGAACAATTAAGAAAGAATAAGTAAAATATATAATGCTTCAAAAAAGAAGGAAGTACTCAGATCTATAAATAAGAGTATTATTTCTTTACTCTCTTACTTTTACAAAAATAACTATAATTAATTCATTTTTATTAATATACAAAATTCTAAGCTTTTTCTACACTAGATTTTTGAAATACAGTAAATAATCCTTTATATCATTCTCATCCACACAGAAAATATTAAATAATATTCCTACAAAAAAATTTTTGAAGATTAAGTAATTTTGAACCTACAGTATAAATTTGAAGATTAGTAATTGAAGTAAAAAATAATATTTCTAATTTTTGATTTACACTTATTGATATATAGTCTTATCTGCCTTATATATTTTAAATTCTACGGTAAATTTAATATTAATTTTAGTATAAATTCTGCTAAGTTTTACAGTAAAAGTAGCTTTAATTTTCAGAGATTAAGTATTAATATCTTCAGTAAATTTATCATTAATTTTAGAAAATATTCTTTCAATTTTTGCAATATTTGTAATTTTTTATCACATGAGAAAAATTCACTAGATTTAATATAATATAATAACTATATAGAATATAACATAAAATTTATTAAATGATTTATATATTTTCTGATTTTTTCTATTTTTGAATATAAGAAGACAAGTATATTTAATACCTTTAATTATTAATTTGTGTAAATAGAAAAAATAATTTATTTTATACTTTATTCTTATTACATATGAAATTTTATTTTCTTATTTTTATAAGAAAATATAGTTAACATATTAGTGCTAAAATGATAATTCAGCTTCTTTATAATAGATTTTCAATATTCATGATACTATTATCCTATTTAATTGTAATTGTAAAAAAAGAAAAAATATTAGAATTTGCGAATAGCCTGATATTAATTATTACTACTTATTTGCAAATCTAATTTTCAAAAGGTTCTCTTTTCATATATCTATATTAATAAATTAAAAATATTTAATAAAATATTATCAAAACTTTTGATACTAAAACATTTAAGTAAAAACTAGTGACTCTTTAAAATCAAGTTTAAAAATCTTATCAGGTGATATAATTATTCTAAATACAAAGATATTATGCTAATAATAATTTATATGTTAATCGTGATTTTTCTTGACTAATATCAAATGTGCATAAAAGATTAATAAAAGTAATATACTATTTTTGAATTCATATTATGATGATATCCTTCTAGAATATAACTAAGTATTAACTCATAAGCTTACTAATAATTTGTAAAGTATTTAGTAGATGATATTCTTAGAGCTAAAAAAATAGATTAGCATTATAATAGTAATTTTTCAGTATCTATCTAAGTTATAAGAATAATGTATATTATTATTAGATTGTGAATATTCTCATTTAATTAAATGGAAATGTTTGATGATAATAATGATAAGTTTAAAATTTTTTTGAATTTTTTTCATTTATTAGATAGGTAAAACTAAACTGATAAAATTTACTTGATACCATTATCTTTGGTAACATCTTTGATATTCTTTTTCTTTTATTTGATTGCAGAAATATAACTTTATTTTTTAAAATTAGTAAGTATTATCATATTATAAAAGTTATATAATTTTTGAATTAGTATTTATAAAATATTTAAGAATGAAAATATTCATAATATGAAAACTTTTAATACTTAGTCATATATAAATTACATAAACAAAAAAATTATTTTCCAATCTGTAAAAGAAAAAAGATTTCAATTTTAAAAATCAGCTGAATAATGCTGATAATGCATTTCTAAATCAAATAAGATAAGTATTTTTTTTATTTCTTTTTTATCATAAATCATGATAATTGATGTAAATTTTAATTTGTTATTATTATAAAGGTAAATCTTGATTAGCATTTATATATGAATCAATTAACAAAAAAAAATAAATAATTTATCTCATATTTAATTTTTATCCAAAAAATCAATATGATAAGCTAACTTCTAATTATTAAATTATGCTGATATCTTAATAATTACTTTGCAATAAGCATCTATAGTTTTATTATCAAAAGAATTATTATCTAACATTTATTTCTAATACTATCTCTTCTTTTTATTGGAAGATAAAATTTTGTTTTATCTTTTTTTTCTGAATTTTTGTTAATGATTAAAAATTTCAAAAATAAATTTAATAAAAATCTACATTATACACCCTATTCTTTAAATAAGAAATTTTTGCATTTCAAATAATGATTATTTTGCTATATTTTTATAATTACTATAGTATTTAAATATTAAAAACAATAAGTTTATTTATTATAATAATCATTATAATTCTATATACCTTTTATAATGTTCATTGGAATTTTTTCTTTATAATTTTTATAATATTATTAGCATTAGAAATAAATGTTACTACAAGTGCAGTAATATCAAGTGAGAACTATCAGATGATAATGCACAGCAATAATCAACAATCGTTATAATAGGTAAATCAGAAAAATATTAAAGATCTATATGATTTATCTGATCAAATAAATCTATCTAATTCTTTTGATATCATGAATCTTATTAATATTCATAATAATAAATAACTTTTTATATTAAATTATCTTCGTTATATTTATTTATTTTATTATTTTATATAATTTATCTTATATTTTATATCTTTATTTTATTATTTTCTATTATTATTTATAGCTAAAGTTTACTAAAATAGTTAGTTTATAGTAGTTAGCTATAATAAATTTATTTTATATAAATAAAATTACTTTTTACTTAAATTGTAAATTAACTCTTCTATGAGTTTTAATATTATAAATAAAAGAATCAATTTAAATTTATACAAATTTACTTTTCCCTTTAACGTTATCCCTCATTTAAAATTTATTATGATATTCTACACTAACTTGCTATTAGATTCATCATTATGAATTTGACTAATATATCTTAAATTCTAAGATGTAATAAATTGTCAAGTTAATTCAAGTATAATGGATACTTATAGGACTTAGAGAAAATCCTAAGATCAAAAACTCTAATGTGTAAAATCAACTACTGTAGCCTTTTAACTTAAATGTTAAAATAACCAAAAATATATTTAGTAACAATATATAATATAGAATACTAAATTTTTAAGTTTAAAATAATCAGTATATTTATTATTGTATCTTAAAGCTCTGAACGGTTTAGATTAATCTGAAGATTTTTCAGATCAATTCAGTTCAGATCAGTTTCAGATTGCATAAAAATCAATCCAAAAATTTTCAGTTCAGTTCAGATTTTTTTCAGATTATAATTCTAATCTGAACTGAAAAAATCTGAACTGAATTGATAATTTCAGATTAATCTAAAAGTTCAGTTTAATTATATGCAAAACTTTGAAGGATTGCAAAATTTGCGAATTCTTTAAGAGAATCGTGAAACTCTTAGAAAATCGCAATTTTTTGCGATTTCTCTTTGAATTTTGTAAAAAAAATTACGAAAACCTTAGAGAATCACAATTTTTTGCGATTTTTTTTAGAATTTTGCAAAAATATTGCGAAACTCTTGGAGAATTGCAAAAATTGTGATTTCTCTTCAAATTTCGCAAAAAGATTGCGAGAATCGCAATTTTTGTGATTTCTCTTAGTATTTCGTAAAAAATATCACGAAATTCTTAAAGAGTCACAAAAAATTGCAATTTCTCTTCAAATTTTACAAAAAAATGTGAAAATCTTAGAGAATCGCAAATTTTTGTGATTACTCATCGAATTTTGCAAATTTTCAATCTCAAAGAGAAATTTACAATTTTTTTTGATTCTCCTAGAGTTTCGCATATAAATTGCAGATTCCTTATATAATTGAATTGTAATTTCAAATTAATCTAAAAATTCCAGTTCAGTTCAGATTTTTATTAGTTTGCGTTTCAGTTCAGATTTAGATTAGTATTTTTAAGATTAATAATCTGAACTGAACTGAACTTTTCAGTTCAGATACAGATTGACATCTAATCTGAATCAAATCAAACTATTTGAAACTTTATTGTATTTCAAAGATAAATAGAAAAATACTCTAATACTATATCAATAATATTTTTTTACTATTTTTCTGGATCAGAAGATTCAGATATTTTCTAACAAAAAAGTAAATTTCAGATTTAAAAAATATTTTTAAAATCATGATTTGATTGTTGAGAATATTATTTCAAAAGCATTTACCTCAACTTTGATTTTTTTTTATTATGAGATGTGAATTGGTATTTAATGTAATAAGAATTCTTTATACATTAACCAATTATCCTTCCTTTATTATACTCTTATTTATATTTCGATATATTTATTATTATATTTATTACTATTATTTATACTAGTTAATGATAAGATAATAAATCAGTTAGATATCAAAAAAATATTATAAATCTGATATTATATAATAAATAATATTAAAAATTATATAATAAATCTTAATATTCTAATGATTTTATTTAATAGTTTATTAGTACAATTTATTAATATATTGAATTATAAGTATAAATACAAAAAAAATATAGCAAAGTTATTATAATTTATACAGTCAACTTTTTTTAAAAGATTATAGTAAAAATTTTAAAAAGTATGTATTTAAAAAAAATGTGCATTTAAATAAAAAATTTTTTATATAATTTTTATATACTTAGGATTAAATAAGTATGTATATTTAAAAAGAAAATATAAAGTATATATTTAAAAAAAATGTATTTAAAAAAAATTAATTATATATAAAATTTTCTATTAATAGAAATAATTGATAAATATTTTTTGGAAATTTTTTTTTTTACTAATTATTATTATTTTAGCAATAAAACATCTTAAAATATTATATATAGATATAATACAATTCTATTCTAATTTATAAATTCTTTATTTTACATTTCAATATTATAAATAATATTCATATTATCTTTATTTATTTGATAATAATATTACTTTTACGGTCTTTTGTAGGCTTATACTATTTTATAAATACTAAAGAATATGTTATTTCTTTTTCTGATAATTATATTGTATATTCAAAAAAAGAATTGGATTTGACTAAGATAAAATATCAATTATATTATCATCTAAGATAACACATTTTACTGATCTAATATACTTAATTGAAAATATTAATCTAATAACTTTAGTTTCAATTTTTAATCAATCAGATTGATTAATTTTTAATAAAATTATTATTAATTTTAATGATAAAATATGAATAATTGATAAGATTATAAAAGAATAATCATATATATTATTGTAATATTTTATAATTAGTACTAATATTTCTAATAGCAAATTTATTATGTTTTTATTGGTTTAAAAATTTCCTAAAAAAAATTTCAATCCTATTTTTATTTTCTCTTTAATAATTTTAATATTAAAATTTTATATATTTTATTAAGTCAAAATTATCTGAATCGTAAAATGTTCTTCAAATCTTATCAATATTCTGATCATTCTATATAATACTCATGCTTTTTATATTAATATAGTATTAAAAGAATATTCTTATTTATTATTATACTATAATAATAAATATAAAAATAGATATAAATTTAAGAATTCAAGTTCATGTTCAAGATATAAGAAAAGTGTAGTAAAAGGAAAGTAATTGGCTGATGTATAATAGATTTATATTATATTAAGTATCAATCCTCACCTCTTGAAAAAAAAAAGAAATTAAGATAAATGTTTTATTAAAAATGATTTCATCAGACATGTTTCAAATAAGTGTATCATTTATATTCTAATTTAATCTAATTAATAACTGATTCTATTTTCGCAATAAAATATTGGTCAATATTCTAATTTATATAGAGAATTTAGTAGTAAAGATATTGATTATTATAGCATTACCAATGAGACATTATGCCTATTATACAAGTTAAATAATAATGATAAAAGAAGTATAAAAGGTAAATATAAAGCTAGATCTTATTTTATTAAATGTAAATAATACGAAATTGAGATATTTACATAGTCTCATTATTTTATAATAATATATTTACTTACACTTCATTGTAATATTTTTTTTACAACACTAATTTATATCAATTATTACTTAATTTTAAATTGATTTACAATCATATAAAAAGATATGACTAAGTCTGATAAAATATTATCTTCTAAATATCTGGATTAACATATCAAATTAACTGATTTATCAAACATTATAACAAATAAGATTTAGTTAAAACATATAAAAATATAAAAAAAATTTATATATAAGCTATAGTAATTATTAAAAGCTGTAATAAATATGTCAGTAAAATTTTAGATATTTAATTTTAAGCTTATCACTTATGAAGCTAAATTAGATTCAGAATTAATTATTAAATCTGTCTTAAAGCATTTCACAAATTTGAAATTCTAAAATGGTTTTAGGATATTGATAATTATAATTTTATATTAGTTTAACCATAGAATTCACTATGCCTTATTTGCAATAAAAAAATATAGAAATTATAAATTAGTTTTGAATTTTTATCTGAAAAAAATTCTAAAAATTCATTTAATCCTAATAAAATAAATAAAATTTAAATTAATTTGAATTTAAGATTTAAGAAATAAAAAAAGATTATTCAATTTTCTCTGTTTGATTTAATTGAAATTCTAAGTCTTCTATTTGCTGTGTAAATTTATTATATGTTTCTTGTGATAAAGAAACTTTTCTTCATTTTGTATTTTTTTAGATAATATGATAAATCTGTATTGTTTCTTTTGTTTCATGATTTAGTTATTTCTTGATCATAAATAACAAATTTTTATAATGAAGTTGAACAATTGATCATTAAGTTTAAGTTTGAACTTTTTATTACTTTAGTAAACAAGTTTTCGCTCAATTTTCTATATTTTTTTCCAGAAATTTATTGATCACATACATCACAAGAACCATTATTCTGACGAAAATTTACTCTTACCATTACTACTATATGAAGTTTAAACTGAAATGGGATCAGAAAAAAATAAGTATAGCGAAGATAATGAGTTAAACTTTTTCACTATCAATTATTACGGGTTTGTCTTGGGATGACATTAAATATGTAATCGTCAAAATGCTTCGTAGATCATTCCGTTGCTGCGCCACATTACTGCGCCTGTGACTTTCATGTCACACATCATAGTGACAAAAATTACTTTGATAGCCCATTCGTGTGTATTTTCGAAAAAATATATTAATAAAGGATTTGTTTAGGCCCATTGAGCTTGTATTTTTTTTTAACCTTTTAACCAGTGTATGCTACATGCGGGTGGTGTGTGGATATGGGTGTATCTGTCCATTAAAACCAATTATGTTATTAAGAAATAATAAGAAAAAAAAAATGGCTTAGTAAATTTTTAGTGCAGATTATCATAAAATATATATATAGATAGATAGACTGGTTTTTATGGGCTTTGAAATTTCAAAATGATTTTTCAAACATTAAAATTTCAAAGGTTCTATGTAAACAAAAATATCTTTCCAATAACCATAAAATTTGCAAAAATTCATCGTAATAATTCCACCAATTCAACATATTTTCAAAAACATTTTACAATTCCAACCTCAAGGATAATAAAAACCGAACAAATCGTTTCTCGATTAGGATTTGGTGGATATAGAATAAATTGGAATGATGATAGACACAAAATGGCTCTTGAAAAGGCTATAAAAAGTGGGATCAATATAATTGATACGAGTGCTCATTTTGAACTAGGTGAATCTGAAGAAGTTATCGGTAAAATTTTAAATGATGCTTTTAAAGATGGATTTGTTACTCGGGAGGTAATTATTATTTTTGAAATCAAATGAATTATATGTATTTCATTGTAAAAGACTGAAAATCTTTTTTAGGATGTGGTAGTCATCTCCAAAGCAGGATATGTGAACACAAAACATACCAGTCATTTGGATGATTCATTTGCAAAAATTAATGATAAATCTGCGCACTCTATTTCTCTCGAATTTTTAAATGAACAAATTTCCGGATCATTGTCACGTTTAAATCTTAAAAAAATTGATATATTTATGCTCAATAATCCTGAAAGAATTTTACAAGCAAAGAATAAGGTGTAATATTTCATAAAATCTTCTAGTACCTTTAAGCAAAAAAAGATGAAAAGCAAATTAGAACTTTTAATAATTTATTTCCTAGAGCGTATCAATTAGTAATTTGTATCATGATATTGAAAGAGCATTTGATTATTTGGACAAAGAAGTAGCAAAAGGTTTGAAAAATCATTCACAAAACAGATCAATAATCCAATGTAAATTTATGAGACGGATCATTTTTTTTTTTTAAAAAAAAATTCAAATAGGAAGAATCGGGGGATATGGAATTTGTTCAAATTCAATGGCAATTTCAACAGCAAGTGATCATATTTCTTTACCAACTATTTATGAAAAGCTTTCGAATTCAAGTAAAAAAAATTTTGTAGCAATTCAAGTACCTTTCAATTTATTTGAAAGAAATTTGGTTCAAAGAGGAATTGGACAAAATTGTTCTCTTGCCGAATACGCAGAGGTACTATACAAACGCAAAAAAAAAAAAAATAATAAGATTTATATCTAATGTTTTATTTAAACACTTTAGTCGAATGACATATTCATATTCACCAACCGCCCACTACATACCATTTCCGGGGGAGCCATCCGTACACTTGTTAATAACAAGTGCAATTTATGTATGCGATTTATTTCGTTTTCGTTTCATATTTGATTTTTTATTAATCTCACAACATTCAATTTTATCACAGCTGAACGTCAAATCATTGACAATCTAACAAATGGATTTCAAAGGATAGATCAATTAGAGAGTGAATTAAATGGATTACGTAAGTACTTGCATTTAAAAAACAAGTTACATGTAAAGTACCTAAATTATTTTAAAACGAATAGTTCCGTTGGGGCATCCGTTGTTAGCAAAGTTCATGTGGTCTCAAGTATTATCACAAAATTTGTCAAGATTATCGCAAAATCAATTTGCTACAAAACATTATCTGGAAAAGCAAATTAAACCTGCCATAACAGAAGACTTGGAAGTATTATTGGATTATATTAAGAACAAGGCCTTAAATGGAGAAAAAAGTAGATTACAAAATTGGATTATGGCTTATCAGATGGTTTGTTGTATTTGAAGTTTGCAACTGATGTTACCCAAGAGATTCTATTTAACAAATACTTTTAATTACTAGGATACACAAACTCTTATAGAATCGATAATTTTATACGCTCAAATTAACTTGCTCAATAATAACGATGAACTTGATTCTATGATCTCGTATCTCTGTCCTTCGTTATTTTCGGAAACTGCACAATTTCATTCTCCGTTATCTGTAAAAGTACTTCGAATTAATTTAGCAAATCAAGCAGTTGGTTGCGTTTTAGTTGGAATGAGAAAGATCAAATATGTTCAGGATTCTTTATCCGCTTTAGAATTAAGCGATGATGATTATTTAACTATCGAAGCACTAGATGATATTTATGCGAGTCTACAATAAAAAAATAATTTTGTGCTCATTGATCTGCACATGTTAAATTTTTTTTTTTTTTTTTTTTATCATAAAAGCTTAATTACAGAGTTTTGCCCTTTTTTTCCCCCAAGCATTCAATTTAACTTTCTTCTGTACACCCTTAGCGAACCTTATTACTTTCGATCGTAAGATGGGCTTAGACTTGGATGCTTGCATTTCTCAGCTTCTTCAAAAACAACTTTTAGCAGAAACTCTTCTCAAAGAAATTTGTGAAAAAACCAAAGAGTTGTTAATGAACGAAAGCAACTGCGTTTCGATTTCGGCTCCCGTCACCGTAGAAAGTGTTTTTAATTTTTTTTCAAGATAAATTTCTTTAAAAAAAAAATAAATTAAATTAATTTTGACATTTTCTTAATTTTCTATTCTAATTATAAAGGTTGGCGATATTCACGGGTAAAAATTTTTTTTTTTTTTTCGAAATTTTATCATCAATAATTTTGAATTCTAACGTTATGATATAAATTTTACAGGCAATTTTACGATCTTATAGAAATATTTCGAATCGGAGGATATTGCCCATATACAAACTATCTCTTCCTTGGTACATAAAAGATTTCAACCACTTTCAAAAAGTCATTAAACGAGGTATTTAAAAGTGGTACAGCCGAAAGTTCATAAACAAATCATCGACTTGTTCGGTTTCCCTGCAGGCGACTATGTGGATAGGGGACTTTTTAGCGTGGAAACGATATCTCTGTTGACTTGCCTGAAATTACGTTATCCTCATAGAGTTCAACTGGTTCGAGGAAATCATGAATCAAGAGCAGTAACTCAGGTAATTTCAATTTCAATTTTATTTCTGTCTTGTTGTTCATAATTTAATCATATAATTTTTAACAGACCTACGGATTTTATACTGAATGCGTAAGAAAATATGGTTCGACAAACGTTTGGCACTACTTTACTGATATGTTTGATTATCTCACGTTATCAGTGGTAATTGACGATAGGATCTTCTGCGTACACGGAGGTTGGATTCTTTGATTTTCAAACATATATGTTGCATACAAGAGTATTAATATCATCCACTCTTTAATTAAAAATAGGGCTATCTCCATCAATACATAGCATCGATCAAATAAAAATTCTGGATAGATACAGAGGTACAATTTTGTATTTATCATGTGTGATACAAATTATAATTAACTAATTCATTCGGGTAATAAACTTTAGAGATTCCACACGAAGGCCCAATGGCAGACTTGGTTTGGTCCGATCCTGATCCAGACAAGGAAGAATTTTCCATTTCACCAAGGTTTTTGTTAAAAAAAAATAAAAAATATTTTTCTCCTCTCTATTATTCATATTTTATAATTTTTTTCGATAATTATCATTTACTTGTCAATTTTAAGAGGTGCTGGTTACACCTTTGGAGGATTGGTTGTCAAAAAATTTCTTGAGATAAATAAGATGGAACATATTCTTCGCGCGCATCAACTTTGTATGGAAGGATATCAGGTAAATTTTTTTTGTTTTATTTTTAAGGTTGTATATACAAAAATTTTTTAATATACGGTTCCTCGCGTGCAGGTTCTCTACGATGATCGTTTATCAACTGTATGGTCTGCGCCAAATTATTGTTATCGTTGTGGAAACATGGCTTCAATTTTGGAAGTTGGTGTAGATGGGCAAAGATTTTTTAATGTGTTTGACGCAGCACCTGAAAATGAGAGGGATGGTCCTACACAACAACTGTCTATAGAGAAGAAAGTATGTTATAACAAATATATAATTGTAAATTTTAATAATTTTTTCTAATTACTTTTTATCATTAGGAAAAAGTTCATTATTTTCTGTGAAATTATTTGGCTTACCATAATTCTTGGACATTTTGATATTCAATATTTTAATTTGTATTAAGTTTATAATAATTATTATTGTTTAACTTTATTTATGTCTAATTAAAAGAAATTATCGTATACACGTATTTTGTATGAATAAATTAAATTATTCTAATTTACAAATAAATTCATTCGAGTCCCGTGACAACGTATTGGCTTTTTTTAAATTTTTGAATTTGATTGGTAGATAAAAGGTTAGTTCTCTAAACTCGCCCCCAAACTACAAGTTCTTGGATTTGAGCTTCTAATGAAAGTGACGGCGGTGTAGATAATGCTAAAAGTTCGTAAACGTACCTATTAGCCAACGTACTACCTTTTCTTTTTTTTTTTTTTTTTTTTTTTTGAAAAAAACGAAATACTGTCATTTTTATCGCAACAATCATGGACGAAGACCTTGCAACAATTTCTTGGAGAAGTGTCGAATGGATTCAAGAGGTATGAAATAGTTATACTTTAATAGACGCGAAATATAATTTAATCGTTGTTATCATCCTTTGTATGTAATAGAGACCAGAGGGACTTAATGACGATAATGTTCTGGATTATTTTGCCGAATCACCATTTTGGGATGCTCAATGTAATAATGCAACCTTAAAAATGCAAACGCAATATAATGACCTTAAAGAATTTAAGACATTTTTGAAGTAACTATTATTTACGCGTTTATTTTCTGTGTATATATATATATATATCGATTTCTAAATTTCTTTATTATATATAGCAAAATGGTTGGAATTGAATTTCAAGTAATTTTTCAAAAACCACCAGTTTTATGGGTAATTAGAAAACAAAATAGAACAGATGAATTTCATAGTAAATAATTTAATTTTGATTCTTTTACCATATTGCATTCTTGAAAAAAAACTTTGTTTTTTTTTTTTTAAAAAAAAAGATTTTATCACCAACATTCTTCTTTTTCCTCCTTTTTGTTTATTTAGCTAGCCCTATTGCTACATATTACATTTTGAACAATAATATTTATCAGGCACCTGATTTATATTCAGTCATAGGGAGTCGTATAGTAAGTTATAAAGTTATCTTTTCCTTTTTCTTTGACTTGAAATAATAATTAACTTCTTATTATTTTTGAAAAAAAAATAATTCATGATATAGCTGACAAGTTTACATCATTTACATATTGCCTTTAATACTGCTCACCAAGAAGTAGAATTTCATCCAGCAACAGGGTATACATGGAAAGGGGAGGCCGATTCTAATTCTGCATTGCGTAGTATGTCTATTAACTTATTAAATAAATTCAACTATTCTAAAAGTAATTAACCGAGAGAAAATATATTTTTTTTTCATCTCCCCAAAAGGAAGTAAAATTCAAGACCCAAAAGAATTAATAGAATTTCATAGTTCCATCGAAAGAACTATTAATAATGTTACGATGAAAATGCATCAGCAATTATCTCAGGCTATTATTCAAACTGAAGAAGATAATACATTAGCTATTAATGAATTAAACGATTTGTTAATTAGTGGTACTCCTGGTGAAATGAGCGATGTATGTGTCAAGCGTGATAATTAGTTATTTTTTTAAAAAAAAAAAAAAAATTGGAATAATTGAATTTATTTTATATTAACCTAGCAGTCACCTAGCCAGTCTTCATCACAACCTATGGTTATAGATCAAATGGGAAAAAGAAGGAAAAAAAGCGAAGATTCTGGAAAAAAGAAAAAGAAGAGTAAGTCATTTATTCATTATACATTTTATTCAATATTTTTTTTTTGTCAAAATTTAACTATATTTAATTGTTAGAACAATCTGGTTAAGAATAATTAATATATGTTTATAATAAAAAAAAAAATGAAATGAAATGACTTAAATAGAATGTTTTGTTAAAGTAATAATTTATTATTTTTAATTTTTTTTTTTTTTAAAAAAATATTAATTTAAGATGTCTTAAATATCATAATAAATAATGAATATATTAACTATTAGAGGCTTAAATAAGTCAAAATTGTAATTGTCTAATTAATTAGTCAACAAAATATAGTCGATCTTATGAATTATTTTTAATTTAGACGTTAAGCTCTGCTATCTTTGACCTTCTTATCTATAAAGTATCGAAAAGGAATCCCGCCAATCTACATTTTTTTTAAAAAAAAAAGTTAATAATTAATAATACGAGACATCGACAAGTAAAAAAAATCCTTTTTTACATACCCATGCAAGATTACAGAGCAAATGATCAACAACAAAATTATTAGATGGGGTGACAGGACCTGTAAGATTCATACAACGATGTAAATTAATTAACCTATTCATTAAAAATTATTTTGTTTTATGACTTTACCTTTATTTGCAGCTCTGCAGAGATCACCTCCAAAATCTGAGGTGATAAAAAATTCTCCTTTGCAAAGAGCTTATAAAAAATAAATAAATATGTTGGATATTAACTTTAAGAAATATTAAAAATAGATTTGAGGCAAAAAATAAAAAATAGTCTCCTACATTTATATAAAATTTTAGCAGCTTCATCTGGCTTTAACTCTGTATTACTACCTTCAATATCACTGGATATTTTTGGTTTGGTTTTGTTCTGGAGGTGGATGGGGAGGAATTTAATTACTAATTTAAGAAAAATACAATCAATTACCTCCAAACCGATAAAGTACTTATTTCATTTACCTCCTCCTTGAGACCAGGGCTATTAATCGTGCCAGGAAAATAACAATGAACACCAATATCATAAAGTATCAACTCATTGCGTAAAGTTTCGGCCAAACCTATGAAGAAATCGAGTTAATAAAAATACAAATGAAAATTATAATTTCTTCATCAAAAATTGAAATACCTTTTATAGCATATTTTGTCGGACTGTATTGAGAAAATCCAATGAAACTAATTAATCCTAAGATCGAACTGACCAAAACAACTTTTCCCTTAATCCCCTGTTCTACCATACGTTTTACACCATCCTACATCATAAAATAGGAATTGTTTACACATCAACCAAAAATATATATATATATATATATATAATTCACATACATGAATGGTATATAAGGTTCCGAAATAATTGAGTTGCATACTATTTTCAAATATTGAAATATCTTGCTCTATAAATATTCCAGGCTTGCAAGATCCTTTTTAATGAAAAATATATATATTCATTAGTACATAAAAGAGTTAAAGTAAAATCGAGATCAGAATTATAAAATTACCAGCACAGCAAATAATAAAATCGGGAGCTTTGCCATTATGTTTCTCACAAGCTTCATTTAATGCACGAAAGGATTCATCCTTTTTGGTAAGGTCTGCTGAAATTGCAGTAAATATCAAATTTTTATACTCTTCACGTTCCTTTGCAGCCTTTGTTTAACAATAAAAAGGTTTAAAAATTCATGTTAAATCAATTTATACCAATAAGCAACGCGTACTTACGTTTTTAATTTCTTCGAGAGCTGTTTTTAAATCCTCTTTACCACGCGCAACTATGGTTACGTGAGCGCCTTTCGAAGCTAACAACTTGGCTATAGCTCTACCAAGTCCACTACTTCCACCAGTCACATACGCGTGCTAAATATATCAAAAATTAAGAATTTTATAAAAGAAAATAACCAGAATTTTGAAATGATTGATCCTACCTTTCCTTGTGGTAAAAATTTGTTACGTCCTAATAGTTTGTGCAAAAATGAATTGCCCATTAAATAACCAACAGTTAATAAAATAAATGTTATAAATAGAGAAGCTATAGGATGTAGTTCTCCTGCCTGTCCTGAATAAGGCGTTAATTTAAGGAAATAAACAATTAAAGACATTCCCTTTCTCAATTATTTTTTCGTTGATCGATAAGAATTGGTTACCCGATTAAATTAACCATTATATAATTTTTAAAAAATTTTCTCTGTTTTTGATTGGTCGACTAATAATTATAAATATATATTTATCGAATATGATAGTGAACACATACGATCGAAATTAAGACCCTATCATTTTAGTTACTTTGGATACTTTTACGGTTGATGTTTCCGAAACTCTTAGTCGAGAAAGGTTAGAAAATATTTTGTTTATGTTAAGGCCGTACCAATTTACAACTATGTTTAACAAATCCTTTCAAAATTTTTGTGATTTATATATGTATCCAAAAAAGTAAAAATTTTTATAAAGTAAATGTATCCCCTCATCGAAAATGCAAAATTTGAAAAATAAATATGTGCAACATTAAATTTTTTTTTTAAAAAAAAACACGTATATTTTCTTCTTTGAGATAAAGGTTGCGCTGAAATGAAATTATATCTGTTAGTTTCTGTATACCAAAATGGTAAACAAATTGTCAAATCTTCAGCAACTAGTATTGAACCTCCTGGTTTATTATCTGATCTTTTAAAGATAACGCTTTCTATTAATGATATACCAAATGCAAATATATCAGTTGACTTCCAAAGAGAAAAATCAAATGATTGGCATATAGTATCAAAAGGAATTCAAAGAAGATTTGGAAATATTAAATATCTTAAAGGCAGTGCATTAAGATTTACGTGGAATGATGAAAATAATAATACCAATATTTCTCAAATAGAAAATCACAAAAATGCGTTTAATATTTTAATGAACAATGCTACAGACATACATCTTCCACCTGCACAAGGGTCAAATACTCGAAATAAACTTCTTTATAATCATATCATTGAGCTTTTAAGGATCTGAAAACTTGAGTGGTTTGGAGGTATACATATAACTTCTGGGAGTGATCTTATTTGGTATATCGATCCACACTGCTGATCTACCGGAATATAAAGCAAATCCAATTATATATTAATTCAAAAAAACAGAAATCCAGCTTTGGAAGTCTCACACTGTTTAATTCGAGAATATTCATTTCAAGTATAATTGCATTTATATTCAATAACATTTTAAATATTTGTTTACACAATTGTTTAGGATTAAAAAATGTGAAAACAATTTGTAGTCATATTCGATTACCACAAGAAATTTTTAATCAATTACATTATATATACCAGATCCGCAAATTTCAAGTAGTAAGTTTTTAATATTTCTCGTTTAAAAGAATTTTTTTTATTTACAAATTGTTTTTTTTTAAATGAAAAACAAATTATTGATTTAGATCCTGATCACTATCAGATTTTAATTCACTATATGGACATAATACTACCGTCACGAATGTTAAGAACTTGCTCCAAATAGAATTTTAGTTGCTGCAAGGGTTCGTGATTTTGTTTTTTTTGACTTTGAATCATTACAAATGGCTATGGAAACATTTGTATATACTTGTGGTTCACCTATTGTCCCAGAAGATCATCCCCTATATAATAAAATTTTTGTTAGAATGAATTTAACTTGTAATTCTCCAATTGAACAAGTATATTACTCAAGCAAAGTTGAACATTCCCAAATATGTTACTATTGTGGTCAAGAGGAAAATCTTGTCGAACCATCACAAGAAATCTCATCTCGGTTTCAAATAGTATATCCCTTATGTGAAGTTTGCCAAGAAAAAGGAAAAGATTTTTTTACAAAGGGTAAAATTCAAATGCGAAAATAGATAATTGTTGTCCCCCCTTACTTTCAAAGATTTTATAATAAATATTAAAATTGGTATTAATAAATGATAATCCCCCCATCATTTTTCGCGTATAATCATAATTTGACAATTTTTTAATTCGGATTCGAAACAATAATTACAACCTTCTAATATCTTATATAAGGAATGCTAAGGCTCGAATAATAAAAAGAAATAGTCGATTATATCCAATTAAATATACTAATAAAGAATTTGCGGATAACTAATATCAATTATAAAATGGCGTCTCATTTCAACTTCAATAGAGGTTTGGAACTCAAATTCCTCAACCTCTATAAATTTTTTGTAATATTACTACATGGATTAACTAGGAAACCATTGTTGAGTCCGTAGCACAAGGGACCTATCACGGCATAGAACTTCACTAATAACTTATGTAATTGAGATACAAATTGAGAATCCAAAATAATAAAAAGCGAAAATTATACACCTTAACAGTTAAGAATTACAGTTACTTCGTTTATCATGTCCATTTCTGCTCCAGGTAAAATGAGTGGTTTGAATTTTTCGAGTGTATAAATTAAGATGTATTAATTATAATTTTTAAAAACGTGCAAGGATATACTGTTGGGATTCTTACAAGTGTGTAAATTTCATTGTTGTTCTATTTATCAAATTAGTATGCTAGTATGATTCTATTAATTTAAAAATGATTTTATTAACTCAATAGTTAGTGATACAGCTTCGGCTGATTCCACTAAAGATATTAGTGGTCCAACTCTAAAAACAGTATTTGAACAAGCTTCAAAAGGAAACAAAACTTTTAATGTTATTAAGAGTGCAATTGTTCCGGATGAATTTGAGAAAATACAAAATATCATTAAACAATGGAGTGATTATGAAAGACTTGATATTATTATAACAACTGGAGGTACCGGATTTGGAGCTAAAGATATTACACCTGAAGTTAGTAGATAAGAAAAAATTATTTTATGATTATTATAATTCTATATATATAATTTTTTTTTTTAAAAAAAAATGTTTTTGGATACCATTTTAGGCAATACAACCTTTATTGCAAAAGATTTCCTCTGGAATCACTCATGCAATGATAGCTGCTTCTTTACAAAAAACCCCATTTGCGGCCCTTAGTCGACCTGTAAGTGGTGTAAGAGGGAAAACTTTAATCCTGACAACTCCGGGAAGTCCAAAAGGTGCAAAAGAAAACTTGGAAGCAGTAATAAATGTATTGCCTCATGCCACTGATTTAGTAAGAGGAGGTACCGGTGAAGATATTCATATGCAATTTAACTCTCAAAAGCCTAGTAATGATAAGAACCAACATCACTGCATTCATCATAAACATGAGAATGAAAATATAGGTTCATTTTTATCGGATCCTCTCTCTGGTCCTGGTAATTATATCATGTCTTTTGATATTATTTTCTTTATATTTCACATAAGAAGCAAATTAGAACATCATGTCATTTATAGTTACACAACGTCAACGTAAATCACCTTATCCTATGATTACGATGGATGAGGCATTGAGTATTATTGCCAGTCATACTGAGGCTTTAGATTCAATTACTGTTCCTGTTGATGAACATTTGGTTGGAATGGTTTTAGCTGAAGATGTTTATGCAAAAGAACCTGTACCTGCTTATCGTGCTTCTATTCTTGATGGATATGCTGTCATTGGTAAGATTTTTTATAACATTATTTTTTCATAACCTATTTACTTATATAATGTATTGTTGATATATAATTTCAAATAGCAAGCGATGGTCCTGGAATTTATCCAGTAGTTGGTGTGTCAATTGCAAGTGCTTCTCAATCTGATACTATAGAATTAAAATCTGGACAAATCGCTCGTATTACAACAGGAGGTCCTGTGCCAAAAGGAGCTACAGCAGTGGTCATGGTTGAAGACACAACTCTTGTAAGTACTTCTACTGATGGTCTTCAAGAAGAATCTGTAGAAATTCATGTTAAAGCACGTGATAATGAGTGGATTAGAGAAATTGGATCGGATACTAGCGTTGGTACAATGGTTGCTCGAAAAGGTGAACTTGTAACCGCTGTTGGTGGTGAGATTGGAGTTTTAGCTTCTGTTGGCATACGAGAAGTAAGTATATGAAGATAGTTAAGAATTTTAAAAACATGATAATCTAAAAAATCAACGTTAATTGTAGGTCAAAGCTTATAAACGTCCAATTTTTGGAATTCTTTCTACTGGAAATGAGGTGATCGATTTCAAAGATCCAAATGAGTTAAAATATGGTCAAATACGAGATAGCAATCGACCCACTTTCCTAGCAATTAGTAAAGTTACAGGATTTGATGTTAAAGATTTTGGAATTTCAAGTGACAAGTTTGTATAAAAGAAAAAAAATTAATTAATTAATTTGCTGTTCTTTTTATAATATCTTAAAATAAATTTATTTATCTATCAGTGTACAAGAGTTGGAAAATGTATTGAATTCAGCTCTTTCACAAGTTGATATACTTGTAACTACAGGTGGCGTGTCCATGGGTGAATTTGATTTATTAAAACCTACATTAGAACGTTCTTTAGGTGCAACTTTACATTTTGGAAGAATAAAAATGAAACCTGGGTAAGAAAAGAACTCTCGTCTAAAAATTAATTAAAATTTTTTTTTTTTAAACATTTTAACATATAATTCATTTTATAGAAAACCAACAACATTTGCAACTATTGGAACAGAAAAATCCAAAAAATTGATTTTTGGTTTACCCGGAAATCCTGTATCTGCTACTGTTACTTTTTATTTGTTTGTTTTACCAACTCTTAGAAAACTTGCAGGCTATGAACATTGGAATCTACCTACTGTGCAAGCAGAGGTAATTTTTTATCAAATTTTTAAATTTAAAAAACATTTATTTTTATCTAACTATTTAATCATTTTTATTATTTAGCTTACAAATAATATCAACCTTGATCCAAGACCCGAATATCACAGAGCTATGATTTCATTTGATCATACAAAAGGAAAGTTTTTGGCTGTATCTACTGGTCACCAAATAAGCAGTCGAATGCTTAGTATGCGTAGTTGTAATGCATTACTAAAACTTCCAGAAAAAACTGATCAATTGAAGGAGCTTTCTAAAGGTACAATGGTAAATGCTATATTAATAGGTCAATTAATTCATTAAGAATTAATATAAATATGTTGATATTGTAAAATTGTTTTGTAAATCTATATGTATATGTTTATTTTTATTTATTTTCGCAAATCATTTATTAAAAAAAAAAATGAATAAAACCTGATTTTATATGCTTTTGAATATACTGTATATAAATTAATATATGGGATAGAAAAGGCCAGAAAAAATATCCAGTGCTTAAGATAGAAATCAAATTTTACCGGCCAAATATCCGGAAAGAAAATAATTTACCGGATATATTTATGATATATCTTAAAATTTTGCCGGACAAAAATCCGGAATATAAAAACTTTTTACCTCGATTTTTTAAAAATTCCGGATTTTTCCGGAGTCTTATCATCTATTTTAAGCCCTGATTCTATTTGCTTTTTAGGCCAAAATATGGGATGAGTGCTAAGAAAAGAACCAAATCGACATTTCATGGATTTGTGTTTCCCATGATAAATTCCGATTAAATAAAAATTCATGGCATAATTATTTTTTTTCAATCATCTTTTCAAAAAATATTAACTGCATATAAAGTTTTTAAAAATAATCAGTTTAGCAGATGTGCTTCAACTATTATTAAATGAATGTCAAACTAAATATTATCAAAATATGTGATAAAATAATAGAGAATTTAGCTTAAAAAGCAAAATATGAAAAGGTAATGTAAGTCTCTTTCCTAGTTATTTTTTTTAGCTAGTGGCTGATATAAATTGTTATTCATATATAAGCTTACCTTATGTGTTTGCTACAGATATTACTATAGAGGATTATGAATATATATAGAAAAATTAAAGTTTTTGGAATTTTAACTGATATGAATATTGGATTATTTATTGGTTAGATAAAATTAAAACAATTATGTCAGTTATCTTGCATTATTATAAAAAGACATTTAAATTGATTGCTAAATTTTTAGAAAAAGATTTTAATAAAAAGTTATAATCTATGAATTTATACAAAGTTTATATCAAAATAAACATTAAAAAAA